GCTCTCTCGGCCTCCCTCTCCTAGAACCTGGTTTCAGCGTTAGCCGGGGCGGGGAGGCTGGGAAAGCCGTTGGCCTGTAGGATGTGCAGGCTCCTTCTTGCCCACCACCTTGTCACCTGCCAGAAACCAGCAGGTTTCAGTCTTGCAGGGAGCTCTGAGTCATTGTCTGTGGTTTTTTTCTTTAATTGAAATTGGTTCCACGCTGAAACAGCTGAGTAAGGTTTAGGGAGATGTGAGGTAGCAGGCACATGTCATCTGAAATCTAGGAAAGTGTTTGCCAAAGCCATGGCTGATGTGGAAGGTAGCTGCAACAGGAGTATTTCCATAAATTAAAGTTATTTGTGGTGGAATTTCTGAAGTGAGCATTTCAAGTATAGTAAGGCACTGTAGCGTTCAAATGTGAAAGCAAAGTTTACTTGAATTTTCTGATCTCCTTACTGGGAATAATACTAAAGGCGGGATTTAAAGTTTGGGGGTTTGCAGATAGGTTTTTTTTTCATACAACTATCTATCTGAATTTGAAAATGAAAAGGCATAAGGACATAGCAGCTGAGGGCAAGGACATCTAAGGAACAAGCTAGTGCTGTGCAAATGTTATTCACTTTGTAATTGACAGCCTACTGTGAGTCAGTATTAAACTAACATCTCAAAATAGTGCTAGAAGGCACTGGTGGAATTGTTGTCTATGGAATAATACCTTCATAAAAGCAAAACAAAAAACCTAATAGGGTATGCGAAATGTTATGGTTGCTTGTCATTAAATATTCTCGCCTTCTGTGCATCTGCGGATGTGATGTCTGGGGTGTCTAGGGAGATGGCTGCAATAGAGAAGAGTACTTGGCTATATAATTTCAATTATATGCTTATTGTTACTTTACTATTTAATATAACTAATGTTAAATGATTGTTCAATGTAGTAGTAGTCATTAGAATTGGAGCCTCTGCACTTACACTACATGGAACTTTTTTGTTTCTACTTTTAGAGGAAAGGATACTATGCAAATGAAAAAATAAGTACAGTTAACCACTGGAAATGTTGTATTTAAATACAATGCTTATTTAGTTTCTTAGCGATGTTTTTTCTCCTTGATTTTTTTTTTCCAGTACCCCAAGCGTGACCATAAAATATGATTCTTTGCCTGCTGCACCAAACTTCTTAAGTACTTCTTTTGCCATTTGATCACCTGGCTTCAACTACAATGGTAAGTTATGATTCAGATAATATATTTTCAGATCGTTTCACTCTAGCCTGCTAGCTGTCTGGCTGATGAGGAGAATCCCATTAATGTTTCTCGTTTTCTTTTAAAAAAAAATATTTTGCTTGTTACTCCTGAGTTCTGATATTTCTTCTTTCATGGATGTCTTCCTTCATAGCTTGAAAATAGCTTAGTCACTGTCTGGTGCATCATAGGAGTTATCACAGAAAGGTAGTGGTGTGTTTTCGGTCATGACTGGTATTAGACAGTTGAGTACCAAGTATAAGTCCTGCCTCCACATAGTTTTCTTCTAGTCACAGGGGACAATATTGGCATGGATTTTTACCTGTTGTCAAGCAGCCAGTCAGTGAACTGAATGGCTAAAATCATGCAATTATCCACTAGACCTATACAGAAAGCGTAAGTATTTGGCATATTCATATAAACACTTTAAAATTGTAGTGTTCTGCAGTGTCAGGTGCTAATGAGTAATAGCACATGAAGTGCTTTTTTTTTTAAGAAAAATAGGTAATATAAAAATATAAGAATAGAAATTTTGTAGTGACACTGCAAGTGAATGATAAAAAGCCCAAGTATCTTTGCTGTATATTTCTTTGTTGTTATTGTAGTATGCTTTTCTCCCCTGAATCCTATTCTAATGTATGAAATAACTGGTACTGCCATGTGTTGGACATGGCTTGTATGCCTTCTTTTCCTTGAGATTTGAGTAAAGATATTTGCTTTCATGTACAACTGATAGGTATGAGTTAAACTGAAGAAACAACACAAATATATATATGGGAAGGAGTACCGATTACAAGTGATTCTAAGCTTTACTGAAGAGTGGAAGTGGTGGAACTGGAAGTGATTCTCCAAAACACACTCTCTGGTTTTTTTAATAGTATAGTCTAGGTTTTCTTCTTTTCATCTGCAATTGTTTTGGTTAATATTTATTATTACTTTTATTAGGTGTCATTTTTATTCCTACTTCTAATTCTAATTGCCTTTCATTGTTCTAAGTCTTCATAATTTTGTCAAAAACCTCGCAAGTGTAGATGCTTGGTAGTGGGTTTGATTCCTGTTGCTGCTAGTAATAGAGTTTTTGTAGTGTTTTTATGTATGAGAATGTTTAAACAGTTAATGTACTTTCTAAATAAGCCTTCGTAATTCTTGCAGCAACAAGCTTTAGAACTGGCATTGGATCGTGCAGAGGTAAGGAGTAGCTATGTTATTTGTTTGCCTGTAATATATTTGTCTCAGAGTTAAATAATTTGTGGTTTTGTATTTCTTCTGGAAAGCAGTGGAGGAGCACGTTGTGTAAATATATGTGTGTGTATACACCCCTAGTCCCAGTCTTGGTCAACAGTTTATGACTAAGGCTAAGTAAGGGAAATAAAGGGATGCCTTCCCATTGAGTCACAAGATTCATAGTGGACCCCCTTGCTTTCTAAACTCCTTCTCAGAGAGGAGTCTGGGTGCAGCTGAATCCACTCCTAGTCCCAGATGTGGTCAACAGTTTATGATTAAAGGAATAGGGTGTCAGGGATTCTGGTGTAGTGCTTGGTGTAACTTTAAAATAGCAACAACCAAATTCACTAACACTATTGAGATAAATCACAATATCAAATTATATAAAACTTAGTAACATAATTAACCTAAAACTTACTAAGATTAATGATATTGAGATAAATCACAGTATTAAATCATAGCAACATAATAAGATCAGACACTTAAAGAGATATAAAGAGATAAATATGTACAAAGGTGCCTTTTTAAATCCCCTCCTTGAATTCAGTCGAATACTCACATTGAATGCTTTGCATCGCTCAGTGGATGATCAGCCGAGCCTCTGAGTTGATCATGAACTTGAGGGTTCATGGGTTGATTGGCATCCCACTCAGAGGGTGATGCTGGTTGCAGTGCACTGCACTCTAGGAGAGCTCAAAGGATCTCACCTGGGACCACTATTTATAGGACTGGGAGATGATTGACTTTAGGCATCAGTAAATTTCCATCAGTGCCACAAATCATTTGTTGGTAATTGCTAGTATTCTCAAAATCCCAGTGATGCTGGTACTGGTCCACCCGAATCACGGCTAGATAAGATATGCTCCAGGGCTGTCTGGGGATGGTGAATTACTCCCATCTACGCAAGAGTGCTTGGTACAGTCAGGGGGCCCTTAACCACCAAACTCTCTGCTCCAAGGCCAAGCCTTGTTGAGGAAGGTGAGGGGATGGGGAGGACAGGATGGGACATGCACCACCACACTGATACAACGATTACCTTGAACCCTGTTGTGTAAAATACATGTTTCTGTGGAAGAACCTATCTTTGCTGAAATTCTGAACTAAGCTATTAAGCAAAATACTCCAGACAAACAACAGAGATTTGGAAAAACCTTGTTAGAGTATAAGCTACATTTAATGTAGGATGATATCTTTATTCTTCTTTTTTAACTCAAATACTTAATGTACATGAATTGTATTTATAATACACAGCTCTACAGAGAAAACTCATGTAAATGCAAGAAACAAGGGGAAAATGAAACTTCCTGAAGTTGGTTGAGTAGTACTTGATTTGTAAATATTGTCAAGCCAGTATGCATGAATTTGATTGTATCTTAGCATGTGAACTTCAGTATGTTACCATGTTTGTGGTAATGCTACTGAAGTAGTGTTAACTACTATAGTAGTTAACTAAGTACAGTAATGTTAACTACTACAGTAGTGCTATTTACTACTTTAATTACAAAACATTAATGTCAAATCAAGACTTTGCTTGCAACTTATGCCATGAAATGCTGTGTTTCACAGCTAAATTGGGATGTGTCCTGGTTGATGACTGTGACATACACCAAATAATGTTTAGTATATTTTTGAAACAGTCATGTACCGTAACTGTTACTTAACTTCTGTATCTATAGAACACTGTCTGGTAATGATCTAAAGTTGCATGGTAGCCAGAATTACATCTCTTTGTAATATATATGTTATTTTTTGGTTTACTTTTCTAGTATATCATTGAAAGTGCTCGTCAGAGACCTCCCAAAAGAAAATATTTATCCAGTGGAAGGTAGTAAGAGTTTCACTATTTAGCTTTTAAGTAGCATTTCTTTGATTTAATTTTGGTTACATTTTAAGCTTTTTTAATTTCAGAAAATCTGTATTTCAAAAACTCTATGATTTATATATAGAAGAATGTGAAAAAGAGCCTGAGATAAAGGTAAGTGGAAATTGCTGAGAAGCTTTTCATTGCTGTCTGAACAGGCAAGTTCAGAAAATATTTTTTTTTCTTTCACTTAATTCCTTTGTTAAAAAAAGAATAAATTCTGGTTACTGTAGGAGTTAACTAACTAACTAGTTACTAGCTAACACTACAGGAGAAATTATTATTATTACTTTTGTGGACTAAACTGTGTAATTTAATCACATCTTTTTAGTTCAATTTGAAATAAAAACAAGATGATGGGAGGGCCAATGCCTACCTTAAATCTGTTTTTAAGGGTAATAAGGTAGAATGCTGGCAGAGGATTGTAAAGATTGTGCTCTTGAGATGATTTTCTATGTATGAAAAGAGAGAATTTGAAAAGAATAGTCTTGAATGCTGAAATTTATCTAACAAGTTTATTAGATAACAGTACTATTAAAATAGCTGAGTGGTGTAATATGAATACTAAGGCCTAGACTAGCTTGAATGACCTGTTCATTCTGACTTAATCCTGGGTCACTGAAGTCAGTTGTGGTCAAGTTCAGGGCCAGTGTCAATGCCAAGTGCATTGTTGTCAGTATCACTGTTTCAAAATCAATTGCTTAGCCATGGGGAAATACACGGAGAATTTCTTAGAATCTGCGTTGTCATAAATTCAGACAAAAAAAAAATTTGAAGTCACTGATTAGTTGCCTGTTCTCAGTTGGTACCTTCTGACAGCTGCACATGGTAGCATCAGTCTGCATGCATGAAAACATCTCAGAGTAATGAAAGTTTCAGAATACTGTTATTGGAGGTCACTTGAGTTCCATACAGGACTAGTGCAAAAATAGTAAAGGCACATAGAAACATAGAATCGTTTAGGTAGGAAAAGACCTTTAAGATCATTGAGTCCAACTGTTAACCTAGCACTGCCAAGTCCACCACTAAACCATGTCCCTAAGCACCACATCTACATGTGTTCAAAATCCTCCAGGGATGGTGACTTAACCACTTCCCTGGGCAGCCTGTTCCAATGCTTGACCCGCTGAGTAAAGAAATTTTTCCTAATATCCAATGCAACTTGAAGCCATTTCCTCTTGTCCTGTCACATGTTACTTGGGAGAAGAGACTGATACCAACCTCACCACAACCTCCTTTCAGGCAGTTGTAGAGAGCGATAAGGTCTCCCCTCAGCCTCCTCTTCTCCGGACAAAATCATCCAGTTCCCTCAGCTACTCCTCGTAAGACTTGTCCTCCAGACCCCTCACCAGCTTCGTTGCCCTTCTCTGGACACGCTCCAGCACCTCAATGTCCTTCTTGTAGTGAGGGGCCCAAAACTGAACACAGTATTCCAGGTGCAGCCTCACCAGTGCTGAGTACAGGGGCACAGTCACTTCCCTACTCCTGCTGGCCACACTATTGCTGATACAGGTCAGGATGCTCTTGGCCATCTTGGCCACCTGGGCACGCTACTGGCTCATGTTCAGCTGGCTGTCAACCAACAGCCCCAGGTCCTTTTCTGCTGGGCTCTCCAGCCACTCCTCCCCAAGCCTGTAGCGTTGCATGGGATTGTTGTGACCCAAGTACAGGACCAGGCAGTTGGCCTCATTAAACCTCATACACTTGACCTCGGCCCATTGATCCAGCCTGTCCAGATCCCTCTGCAGAGCCCTCCTACCCTCCAGCAGATCAACACTCCCACCCAGCTTGGTGTCATCTCCAAACTTACTGAGGGAGCACTTGATCCCCTCATCCAGATCATAGATAAAGATATTAAACAAGACTGGCCCCAAAACTGAGCCCTGGGGAAAACCACTTGTGACTGGCCACCAAATGGATTTAACTCTGCTCACCACAACTCTCTGAGCTTGGCCCCTTCTTCCAAAGGTCATAAACTCTCCTTTTTTTTCCTGACTTCCAGTCATTTCTGCTACTTTGCTGGAAAAGTACTTTTAAGAGGTACTCTGGTAGCTGTGGGGAATAAGTAATTACAATAGATGAATAAACCAAATGGTGCCAGATAACAGTGAGGGGTGTCTTATTTGTTTTGGTGGGATTTTATGTCCTTGATTAATGTCTAATGGTGATGAATGATATGCAGACCTGGATGTACTTGGTAAAGTGTATAAAACATCATCTTGCATGAATCTCTCTGTTGTTGAAGAAAATATAACTAATTTGCATGTGTAAGTTGAGGAAACAAATGACTGTAAAAATGCACTTTAAGGTAAAGCTAACCTCATTAGGGTGAAACAAGCAGACTTTGTTCAGACCACATTATTCCTGAAGTTTGATCTGCAAAAACTTACCTTAGGTGTTACTTATGAAACAAATATTTTCTTGCCTCTACTACAGAGGCTGCATGGCCCTTGTCTTTGAGCCTCATTAATACTAGTCTCTTTTGGAATGGCAACCTAATGATTGGCGCAGCCAGTTACATCCTAGTGGAAGTAGACTTAGTTACGAGTTGCAGTATTCTCTCAGGATCTTAACTTTGCTTCAGCTAAGTTACAGACATCTTTTGGCTTCAGTTTATTCCTTGTATTTTGTAACGAAAAAATTATGCTTTATCAAGTTGGGTTTTATTTTTCAGTCAATATATACAAAACTCCACTTCGCTTTTTCTGCTTCCTGAAAGAACAATGCATAACGTTGTTCATGAAGTTAATTTTCAAATAGTTAATAGCTCTGCTGAAGTTGAGACGAAGTTGTATCTTCCAAGATACATCTTCTATGCATTTGTAAAGTGGTGCTGGGATTAATGAAACATGTCCAAAGTCAAGGGAAGAACCTCCGGTGGTTGTTACAGGTTTTTTGTTTCACAGAGATACAGTAAATAGCTACAAAGAGCTTTTTTTAATGAAGATGATCTGTTTATTTTATGGTTTTTGACTAACTTTTCAGTCATAAAGGTAAGTGGGGAAAATTGATTTAAGATGCTACAATGAGGGACAAGAAAAACAGTCATGAAAAAGATAAAATCATAATTTTGTGTGCCAACAGTCTGCCGTTGGAGGAGTGGATATTAAAATTAGCATTTTGCTTATAGCCAAGGATGGAGGAGTAACAAACATAGCATAAAATCACTACTTCAGTCTTGTTAGGCAGATGTACTCCATATTCTTTATTCAGAGGTAGTCATCAGAAGTCACTGGAAGCAAAAGAAAGCACCTGTTCTTTCTCTGTGCTGCTTCCCAGCCATCACACAGTCACTGTGGTGTGTATTCAGGAGGGAGGAGTGCTGCTTTTCTGTGGATGAAGTCAGAGAGGGTTAGGAGTTTTAGCTGATGTAGCAGAGCAGTATAACTGGCCTGATTGCTTGCTATCTGAACTCTTGCAATATACTGCAGTGAATGCTTAAGAAATGTAATACAGCTCAGGCCACTCCTTGATCTTTAAAATATTTCCATACAAGTCGTGAGCTAATGCTTAATATCAGCCCTGAGCTAGTATCTCTAATAGCCAGCTCAAAGGAGAAAGCTGATTTTTGTAGTCATAAAAAAGTTTCATGCTTAGTGAAATGTAACTTTACCTGCTTATTGAAATGTTTGTACTTAAAATGCTAATTTACTCCAGTGTCTTGGAGAGGCTTTATATTTTAAAATGTGCTTAGAATATGTCTTAAGAATTTCAGGTCATTTGAATGCAGTTCTTAGGCCTGTGTGATTGTCCTCTCCTCTTTCCTTTACCTGTCTTCACCCTTCAACATCCTAACTGCCAAAAAAATGAAATAAGCAAAAAAACCCCAAGCCATAAGTAGCCCAGTATTATTGAACAAAACCTAACAATTACAAAATAAAACTAATGTCATTTACTGAATAAATTTAAAGTAGAGAGTGATGTGATTAACTCAATTTAATTACATTTACAATTGAATTACCATTATGTATTTTACTTATGAGGTGTTTAAGGAGTAGAGGCCTTCCATAAAGTAAGTCTCATGGCTATTTCTTGCATGCCTACACAAAATTTTGGGGAAAAAAGATGAACATTTTATTTAGAAATTCTATGAATGCTTACTAGTCAGTATAAATTATTCAGTGCCTGTATTTTGGATGGAATAAGGCCCTTAACTGAATGATCCTTTTTCTTCAGCTCATGAAAATACTGAAGCTGGATTAGAAATGTTAACAGTAGCATTAGTAACAACTTTTAGAAGCAGTATTGATTCTGTCCCAGTGATGGAGGAATAGAATTGGGTTTTAGTTTTTTTATTGCATACTTTTATTTTTAAATATAACTTTAGTATAAATTATTATTTTCTTCTTAACTTCTCTTACATAACCTGATGATGCTTTTTCAAAACAACTCTTACAGAATTCTCATATTCCGTTTCTGTCTTCCTAATGCTGTTGCATAACTAAATGTGAAAGTATTAATCTGTCCAACACCGGGGGAAAATATACAAAAACCTTTCCATCAAAAGATGACAATACATCAATTCATTAGAGAAAAGATGTCAGCGTAGTTGAGTGTTGACTTTGCTCACTCTCTCTAATGGCATTTTCTATACCTCAGGCTGCTTCATACTGTGTCTAAGTGAAAGCCCAATAGCTGTATCCCATACTCAGTGATGTGTCTGAAAATTGAAGCAGTGCACATGCTGTCTCCTGTTTTGGGGTAGATGTTGGGGGAGGTTAATAGGAGTTTTAACTGAAGAAGGATTTGCATAACAGGCTGCATCTTCAGAGTCCAATGAATGGCTCCATCCAGACCTGGTATTCAGCTGTGAAATCTAGCCTTCAACCAGAAGTTGTAATAAAATTATGTGAGGTTTAGAATCCATTGTTTTAAGTTCTAAGGGGGCTTTTAAAATGTTTAAATTTGTAGGATGTGTATGGGGTCTTTGAAATATGCTAATTAATGTTTAAAATCTGTTATATGTAGAAAAGATCATTCTTACAATTAAATAAGGGAGTAAGTCTCTGCAGTTGCTGGATCAGATTTCAGCAAATACAGACAAGGCAATGCAATTAAGAAAGGTTCCAAATGCTGTAATTCAATATTTTAATCCTGGAAAGAAATATCTGCTTCTGTTGGGAATATTTGAAAGTAGTAAATATTTTGCTGCTGTTGTTATCAAACAATGTATAGTGTATATTTATATTCTGTGCTCATAGAAATGATACAAATAATACCATTCATTGTAGATTTACAACATTCTAGCATAGAGTCATTCTTATTAACTGTGTTGTCTGTGGACTTCTAATTCAAGGGTATTTTTAATTTAAATTAGTATTCGGGTTTTTTTAATCTTTGCGTATAAGTATGTATAATACATAATGTATATATTCTGCTGAATACAGTCCAATTAACTTTGACGGGGCCTGTTTAGATGTATATACTTCAACATCAATCTATATAGTACTCATATTGTAGCAACTGTTTTTATTTCTACTAATTACTTGATAGTATTATGTTCATGAGCAATGTTTACTTTTAAAGCAGAAGCTGAGGCGAAATGTGAATTTACTTGAGAAGCTGGTTATGCAGGAGACGTTGTCATGTCTGGTAGTGAACCTCTATCCAGGAAATGAGGGTTATTCACTTATGCTCAGGGGAAAAAATGGTTCAGGTAATATTTTTGTTCTTTAATTTTTAAAAATACTCAAAATGCTCCATAAATAGTTAGAATGTGCTGTTCTTATATTTAACTGTTTCACTTCTAACATAATCCCTTGTGGAAAAAAAAACAACAAACAACTGTACTTGAACTAAAAATCTACATAAAGCAGTGAGGTGCTCAGAAACGGTCTCTCTACGGTCCAGCATAACTCAGTAGATATGAGTCTTTTTGACAACCTTACCTTCTCTTAGATGCCCTTAGTTTCCTGGGTTTCTCTCACTTCAGGTTCCTTCTATCAAATTGTTTCTTTCACTGCTTCCTAAATCTAGGTCTGACCAAAGGCATCTGTGTTCCAGTTTGGTTGCATCTTCATGCCACTGTTACTGTGATGTGCAATAAGGGCATACAGTAATGAGCTGGGAGCAAAAATTTTATCCCATTGATCTGTTAAGGCATATTGCCTTTTTGCAAGAGCAAAATCAAGCTCTGGGAATAGAAATGGATGTAAAAATTAATACTATGCAAAAAAATTGCTGGTTTCCACTGGTCCTGCTTTTTCCTGTGGCAAGCTTGGTTTTAGATTTCACGTTGTTAAAGTTTGAACTTGAAAGGCAAAGGAAAAGCAATATGTTTTGTTTAAATTCAGATTCTGAGACCATTCGGCTGCCTTATGAGGAAGGAGAGCTGCTTGAATATTTGGATGCAGAGGAACTACCACCTATTTTGGTTGATCTTTTAGAAAAATCTCAGGTTTGAAAGTTTTGTTTTCAAAGAGAACTTATGTTTTGTACCCAGGTAGACCTTGATATTTTTGAATGCTTCACATAGGTGATTCCAACCACACGATGTAAAACACTTGTGCGTTTGGAACTGTAATATTTAATGCTCCAAATAAATGTTTTATTGATATATAGGAAAAAAAATATTGGGGAAAAAGGGATAGAAAAGAGATTGGTGTGGTTAAGGCTGACAAACAACTTCAACTCTGTGCTCTAGCAAAATGTTCTTTGCTCTTTGTCATTATGAAATATTTAGCATGGGAATTTCTTAAAACTACATTGCTGGCATATGGAAACACTACATTTGAAGCTTGTATTTTAGGTATCTCTGTGTATGTAGTAAAGACCACTGGCCTGACAAAATTAGTGATTAGTTTTAGTCACAGTATCACTGAATTCTATATGTTGTATAACAAACTTCTTTTTGGAGGCGGGGGCTGAGACAGATTGGTAAATATTTGTTTATTTACAAGTTGTTTTTTTTTTTTTATTTCAACTAGGTTAATATTTTTCATTGTGGATGTGTCATAGCAGAAATACGTGACTATAGGCAGTCTGGTAACATGAAATCTCCAACGTACCAAAGCAAGCACATTCTTTTGCGTCCTACAATGCAGGTAAGAAGTGTTTTAAGTTGTTCCCAGTGTTATGGCAGTTCCTAGACTGGACGTGAACTATTACTGATCGTATGTTAAGAAATCTTATTATTTAATTGAAAGCTCATTACCATTGTATCTTCTTCCCCAGACTTTAATTTGTGATGTGCATTCTATAACAAGTGACAACCACAAATGGACACAGGTGAGTTAGCAGTTATTTTAAAACTTTACAGTGATGTGGTAAATACACAATACAAGAAAAGAAAAGAAAATTTATTTAAATTATTTATTTGTTTAATAAAATCCCATAAACAAAACTGATTATATTGTTTTTATTAATTCAAAGTGTCAGTGGTGTGCATAGTGGTGCATGGTACACGCTCCAGAGTGCTGCCCAATTAATTTGTTACTAGCATCTTCCCACAAGATGGCATAGAAAACAATAGGATTTGCTAAAAGTTTTGTAGAATCAGTCTTTAATTTTTGTTAATGCAGAATGACAGAATTACTCTGTTTACCTTACTTCATTCATCTTCAGTATACAGCCCCAGAACAGCAGTTGCGGTCTAATGACACAGTTGTTCCTCTAGCGTCATTTTGCTATTGGTGCTGTTACAGCAGAGAGCATCCTAAGTAACTATGGTTGTACAGTTATAGTTAGTTAAATGATGAATAGCATGGTGTATTCAGTGTGCTTGTTTGTATTTCAGAGCCACAATCATGCTGAAATCCATTTCAAATTGTAGTCTAAAGTCCCATGTAGATCATCTTTATGGCACTGATTGCCAGTCAATCAATATAAATCACTGACAGAAAATGGATTTCATTGCCACTAGTACTGTTTTTAAAACAAAGAAAACACACACACAAAAAAAACCCCAAATCATAACATGCCCCCTACTTGTCAGAAGGGTGTTTTTTTCCCTATTGGAAACTTCACCCAAAGCTCTGTAATTCATAATAATGGTTAATGATACTTAACTGTTGAATATTTTCTTTTCTTGACTCTCCACATGCTTTTTTTTTCTGTTTTCTTTAAGATAATATGCACATATGCATAGGTATATATCAGCTTAATTAGTGTAAAAGTCTTCATATTTTTACATTTATTAATAGCTGTGTATATTACAGGAGGACAAGCTCCTACTTGAGAGCCAACTTATTTTGGCTACAGCAGAGCCTTTGTGTCTTGATCCTTCAATAGCAGTGACCTGTACTACAAACAGACTCCTGTACAACAAGCAGAAGATGAATACTCGCCCTATGAAACGGTAGTTTTCAGTGTGAAGTGTGTTGAGACTTCGAAATTTTATGAAGTGTTTCAAAGAAAAATATAAGTAATGCTTTATGTGAAAATGTTGCTTCTCATGCAATGTCTACTTAAATATTTGGAATATGAGGAACAGTCAAGAAATTATATCTTATTTTTAAGTGCTCAATATTGTACTATATTACAATTAGTAGTAAATACTCTAATATGCTTATTTTTATACATCAAAAGAATATGTATACATATTATTTTCTTAACATAATACGTTATATTTCAGTTTTGATTCGGTCTTTTTTGCATAATTCAGAGATAAGCTGCAATGTAAAATAGATAAATGGATATGTTGCATGTTGGTCTCTGATTTGTTAAATGCTATGTACAAGTTTAACCTGAATGAGGAAATCAAGAGAATTATTTATGTGCTTGACTCAGGCTAAACAGAAATGTAGACATATTAGAATTTTAGAAAGCTTAAAAGTAATGTGGAATGCACTATATAAAAAATGTTGAAATTGTTTCACTTTTATGCATGGTTGTGCACTTTTTTCCACATTTGTTCTTCTTGGAGTGTTGCATTCACTCTGTAGAAAGAAAATGTACTAATGATGAGTCAGAATTACTGAAATATTTAAAACTAGTTTTGCGTTGAAATACTATGCTAATGTACAACCAGTGGTACTGTCTAAAAAAGTATAAATAGTAAAACTGATCAAGCTGTCCTTAAAATTAGAGCTTGGTGGTCAACAAATATTCCACTAGAAAAGTAGGCAAAGGTGTTAAATGAATATCCAGAACAGCATTAATGTACCAATGGGTTTGGCATGAGACAAAGAATGGAGGGTAGTTACTGTGTTTATAGCTACGTGAACAGCACACATATCTTTTGACAGAACTGAAACCTATAATACACAAATATTTTCAGCTTGGCAACTTCTCTGTTGCTTATTTTGACAATGTGTTTCAACTATGCATTTCAAAAATAACTCCATTCTTACTGCTGAAACACGTGAACAGAATACTAGTATTTTTTAAAAATATGAAATAGTTTGAGTTATGCAGTGTAATCCTGACTAGCAATGTTAATATTTCAAAACCTGTCTTTTAATCTCAGTATAAGTAGCATTTCCCTGCATATTTTTGTGTTTTGTACACAGGCAGTGGGGAGTTTCATCATGATGGTTTTACAAAGGTTATCTGTCATTTTACCATAGGTGCTTCAAAAGGTACTCAAGGTCGTCTCTGAACAGACAGCAGGAAGTAGCTCACTATTCAACTCCACCTCAGCTCAGACTACTTGACTACTTACAGAAAAGAAAGGAGAGGAAAGGAGCCCAGCAGTATGACCTCAAAATTTCTAAAGCTGGAAATGTAAGTGTTCTGACACATAGGTGGGTATGCTTCTAACTATTTATTTAAAACATTTAATACTGCTTTTTCATCTTCCAGTGCGTAGATATGTGGAAACAGAACCCTTGCTACTTGACTGCACCTTCTGAAGTGGATGTAAGTCCAGTTGTTACCATTAGCAATTATTAGCAATTGTGTTGAACATTGCATGAAGAAGTGACTAAAGAGTATCCAGTGTCAAAGAATGACCTTTAAAAAATGGGAGTGACTTTAACATTTAAAATTATTTTTCTGTACTCTAAGGTATAAACACAAGCTAAACCACATTGGAATACATTGCAATTATAACGTGATAGTTTGGTTGAAATAAACAGTGCAAACAGACCTTTAGTACTGTTCAGCTATGGGTTCAATGAGCACATGTCTATTTGAAGTTGTGTGATGATATAAAAAATAGAAAAAGAAATGAAGTAAGGAAATTATTTAAAAATTAGTCACTTCTCAGCTTGGTAGAAATTCCTCTTTTGACATATTATGATATTATAGGACACAAAATTTTCAATAGTTTACTTTTTTATGTAGAGAATTCTAGTTGGGAATTCTTCTGATCGCTCTTGGTGCATTCTTCTCTCAGGGACATTCACATTTTCAGTTTCTGGCACTGCCAAAACACATACAACTAGCATACAGAAGGGACTCAGTAGACTAGACAAGATGGTAGGTTTGGACTTAATAGGGCTGGCAAGAGTGTGCATTTCACATGAATGATGATGTAAGTCTGTACAAACCTTCTCTGCCTTTGCACTTAACAGTGTTGTACTTGATGTAATCAGAGTCTTCAGAAGTTACTGGTATTGTGAAATTTCTTAACCATTTTCCATTGCAGGCAGTGATTTCAGTCTGTAGTCTTAAGCAGTGTTTCACACTTTTGTTAAGTTTAATGTAGCAAATATAGTGTAACAGAATAAATGTAAAGTTCTGAAGGTTCTCCACTTTTTCTGAATGCATACGACAAAGGGTGACGCTGTACAAAGTATCAAGTTATCCTTTTCTGTTTCTTGCACTGACTTTTTAAGACTATAATGTTAGCCACTGTTAAAAATAAGCTGTGCTAGATTGACTTTAACTCTAGCCCAGTATGACTATTATTCTTTCTTTTCTGATATTTCCATTTCCTTTAAGGTGGAAAAATATGCCAAAGTGGAGAAGTCTATCAAGCCTGATGACTCGCAGCCAACTGTCTGGCCAGCACATGTGAGTAGTTTTAGACCTTTGGCCAAACTTCTCTGTCTCCTAGCTAAAATGCCTCTTATGTCAACAAAATCTAAGTAATGTGCGAATAGTCTTGCCTCTTCCAATTTAATTCATCTTCCATGTGTTAGACACAAAAGGATTACCACAGGTACTTCTAGTTTCATGCAGTGCAGCATGCATGTGAGCATGCTTGTAATTCCCTCAGGTTTTCCAGAAATACAAGGGAAAGCAACTTTAATCTCCCAAGTAACATGGTGTTGCTGTATAGTAAAGAAAGCATAATAATTTACAGGGAGCAGTACTCTGCTCAACAAATTGCTTTCTTCACTCAGATACTCAAAGACTATGGAAAAGAGCTTCTGTTAAAATTTTTAAGTTTGGAAAGAGATTAAGTAATATTAAATACATCTTACAAAAAATTCTTTCTGCAGTGTCTAAGTTGAACCTTAAATTTTTGGCACAAATTACATGATTTGATAAGAAGCAGTCATTTAATATAACTAGCCATAAATCAATTAATTAATTATTGGTAATTTCAGAGGCAAGATATTATCTCCATTAACAGCATCTGTCATGATGTCTTCGTAGTTTCATATTAGCAAAAAGTAATACTTTGCCACAGAACTTACTTTTCATCTCCAACATTTTACTAAGAACATTTTCTAGCCTTGTTGTAATTCATATAAAACGTTTCTATATATGTTTACCCAGTCTGCCTTTCCATATCCACAAGATTGTTTAGTGTTTGCAATATTTTTGTATTTTTAAGAGATGATAAACTCTTTTTCCTGTCATTCTTTCAGATAACTTCTTCTCAAATCACTTTCATTTTAGATAATGCACCCCTTCTTATAGAGTGTTTCTTACTGTGTTGTGTAGAACTGGCATATTTTACTAGCTGTTTCTGTTATCACTTGTTTAAGGCCTATTTGGTTATTTTCTTCTGTCTTTTTTAGGAGATAAAAGATGATTATGTGTTTGAATGTGAAGTTGGTAATCAGCTTCAAAAAACAAAACTGACCATTTTTCAGTCTCTTGGCAATCCCTTGTACTATGGTAAAATTCAGACACTGAAAGGGGATGAGGAAAATGACAACCTAGGGACTCCATCCCAGTAAGTTACATGTTCTTTTAAATTGTGCTGTGATCTGATAGATGAAGGAAGACAAACATTACTTATTATTTTCAGTCATAAAAACACTCCAGAGCTAGAAATCTGGTCTGAGTTTTGTTTGAAAAACATTTTTAATAAAAAAAAAACCCAAAGCAAAATATATTTAAGCAATCATCATATCTTAAATGTATCTTTATGTTAAATGGTCTCTTACATTAAAAATATTGGGGGGGGGGGGGACAAAAAAAAAAAAATGGGGGGGGGGGGGGGAAAAAAAAAAAAAAACCACACACAAAAAACCCACAACAAAACAAACCCCAAAAAATCAACCCAAAAACTAAAAAAAAGTTCAAATTGTGAAGACACTATAAGACATTGTTAGTGCTCTTTTTCAGTGTTACTCATAAGTCTGATTGTTGTCAAAATTTGCCTGATGCTGTGCAGCCATAAGACTTGACTATATTGTGTTCACCCTTGTGTAGAGAAATTTAGGCTAAATAGATGATGGAGAAAAACACGAGCTCCTAAGAAACTTTGTCATTTTGAATTGATTTGAATCTGCTGCTGTTGACTGCAGTTCTACAAAGATTCTCTATTCTTTGCTCTCTTTGTTGTGTGTACTAGATTCTTTGTATGGAGGAACCTGTGCAGCAGAGTAGACCTATAAATTTCAGTAAGGCAAAGAGCAGTGAGCCTGAGCAAACTTTAGTTCTGTTAATGAAAGCTATTTTTATTGTCTAGTATGTAATTCCTATCTGTTACTGTTTATTAAAATGTTCAAATCTTCTTAATACTCAGAATGTTTTATCTCTAGACTGAGCTATTTACTGTTTATTTCCATACTGTTGTGGTTTAACCCCAGCCAGCAACGAAGCACCACGCAGCTGCTTGCTCACTCCCCCCACCGGTGGGCTGGGGGAGAAAATCAAAAGGGTAAAAGTGAGAAAACTAGTGGGTTGACATAAAGATAGTTTAATAGGTAAGGCAAAAGCTGTGCACGCAAGCAAAGCGAAATAAAGAATTCATTCAGCACTTCCCATCAGCTACTGTGAAGAAAATTAACTCTACCCCAGCCAAAACCAGCACACATATTTAGTACTGGTCTTCCTAGAACAGCAGTGCTAGCTTACAGTTGTGTAATAAGGCTGGGAATTAAAAGGTTTTAGAGGGGTTAGATGCCTGGCACCTTTTGGAGATCGCTGCCCTAGGCCATTATTTTTGAGACATTGCCAGTTAAAGTTCATAAAAATTTAGATACTTCCTCATTAGAAAACTGTGTCATATGAAGTGAAAGATGCAGAAGACTTTTTTGTTGTTCTGCTGTAAAATAAAGCAGTACCTTTTTTTTTTTTAGCTAGAGAAACAGATAAAAGGTCTGTAGTGTTTCTAAAAAAAAAAAAAAATCACTGAAAAATCGCTGAAGTAATAAGTTTGCAAGCCATGAGTATTACACCAAAGAGAAATGCTTATTTAGGAGTTCTGGAAAATCACGAAGAATCAGAATTTGCATTAGTGAAATCAAATAATGGAAACCAAATATTTGTTAAAATATTACAGGTAGGGCTGTTTTTGACATCCCCACAGAACACTTATGTTTGTATTTCAGTGTGAGTGTATTGATATGTTGATTTATTCATAACTTTGACCTTGCTACTTTTCACAGTAGCAATTCTGTTGCAGTTTTTCATTTCCATTTTTTGGAATGTACAAAATACAAAACTTCCATATTCTGCCTCTTGCTTTGTTAATTTATCCTTAAAGGAGACCATATTAGGCCATCTGTGTGTATTGTATATATAGTTCTGAAACCAAGTTTGCATTTCAAGTACTAAATAATACGTAGTCCATTAAATGGATATGGTAACTCCTGTATTTTCAACAGGTCTGAAAAAAGAGCAGCATTGACATTCTTTCAAAGTTTTGTGGTTATAAAAACATGTTCTTTTATTTCAAGTCATGACTGTAAATGTATTATACATTTTACATTTCAGGTTCCTTATTGGTTCAAAGACTGATGCTGAAAGGTAAATTAATATAGTATGTACAATATTATATTTTAGTTGTAGAATGATTAGGAGTAGCAGTTCTGGGATAACTGAGGCAACAAAATAAGAATTTCTTCAGTATGCATCACATTAGAGATACCTGTGTTTCTCTGTGCATATGAGCACAGAACTTTTTAAAAAGCAGTCTCTCTCAAAGCCAGTTGCATTTTTGTGCCTTCATAGGAGACCTTGAGGTGATATACATGCCATAGCTCCTCCCTCCAGCCCCCCACCATGTGCATGGCAGGGAGAGGAGTCCTTGATTTTGTGGAAAAATAAATAATAATGTTCTTTGTTTTAATAGAGAATTTTGATCAAGAAACTCTTTGCTTATATTCTCTCCCGCCTCCTTTGAGCTGATAGAGACTTTTACTGTTTGTGCTGTAAGCTGAATTGGAGGATTGGTTGGCTGAAAGCTAAAACAGTAATACAGGGGTCTAGTTTTAACTGGGATTGATTTCCTAATCATGTTTGCAACTGGGTTGCACAAATCCTTCTATCAGAATAAGCTGTTAAGTTTCAGGGACCGGGACAAGAAGAAACAGCTGAGGAGGAAAAGAGGGCAGGACCACCTTTTTGAGTACAGAGCATTTATTACTCTGATTCCACTGTAATTGTAAGGCAGTCTAAAACCTAACTGATGGAATAAGTACACTGCACCCTTTCCTCTGGGACCCTTGCTTATGTCTGCGTTAGTCATATAGCAGCGTATTGAATCAGGGCTATACCAAAGTAAAGTGTATTTCATCATATTTAGGTGTAAGCTAGTGGAAATATTCCATCAATTTTTCATTGAGGTTCAATCTGCCAGAGTATAAGCGACAACAGGTCTTCAACTTGATTTTTCAGGTTTGCAAGGTCACTTGGTACACTCTCCTCATGCTTGTGAAGCAGTACTCCCTCAAACTTAGTTCTCTTAGATCAGTAGAGATGTAGCATTTGATTTGGTAGAACAGTAATTTAAACTGGTTTGCCTGGTGCTGTTGACGATTTAAATTCCTGGATACATCACTTCTCATTAGTCTCATAGAATGAGACCTGGCTGTCCTGATTCTCAGAGTGATCACTTTTGCTGTGATAACGGGTTCTTGGATGTACATTCAGTACAGACCTCTTAGTTCATCCCTTGATTTCAGAGTCCTCATCTGACGTAGACCTCAAGTTAAAGGAGAGTTGACTGTTCCACAAGGAGCATAAGCAGAGGACACAGCTTTATAAAATACTCTGGGCCCCTGTGAAGGGAGTGGGGTCTCCATTGACTGACATCCCAAAGAACTGCAATTGCTTTGGGGAAGGGAACTGTTCTGTCTACTATTTTGCATGTTCTCCCAAAACAGTGTTTCTTAAACTTGTTTCTTAAACTGTATTTTGCATTAGGAGGGGAAAAAAAAAAGTGAATAAGAGAAAAGTTAAAACTGAATAAATCTAAGAAAAGAGCCCAGGAACATAAAGTAGAAAGATACATAAAACACATCTATATCTCTATATATGTGCATCCCTATTTTATATAGATATATATGTATTTATGTATAAAATATAATATATGGCTATGTAACATACACAGTTATGTGTTTACATACATGTATCTAATTTAGAAGTTCAAAGCTGTTAATCCTTTTATGTCCTCGTTGTTTATTTCAGAGTGGTGAATCAGTATCAGGAGTTAGTACAAAATGAAGCTAAGTGTCCTGTGAAAATGTTTCATAATTCAGGTGGATCAGTCAATCTTAGTCATCTTTCTCCAGGGAAGGAAATGGAAGTGAGTTTATCAAGCCCTATATTTCTTTTATTTCCACTTGATTATTGAATTATTAGAATAATTTTTGCTATCCACATTTAAAACTAAAATAACCTAATAATTTTATTCTGAATTAATTTTTAAATGCTTTATTGGCATAATCATTCAGAGTAAGTATATGTGAAAAGTTAGAGGAAAGCACTTTTGTTTTTACTGTTCAAATGTTGTGTCTTTTAGTCATTTCTCTCTCTCTTCCCGCCCCGCCCCCCCCCTTTTTTTTTTATTTTGACATGCACAGTTAGCTGTAAGTTTTTGTTGTAACACTTTGCCCTGTTCAGGTAAACCTTTCACAGAGCAGTATAGTAAGATATAGCTATGCATTTTATTTTATAGGTCAGTAAACACAGAAGCAGATGTAGTAGCTGAACTTTCCTTTTACCTTTAGAAATTATTAAAATTATTTTCTCCTTACTTTGAAGAGGAAAACTTTCAAAAAGAAAACCAAAACAACAACAGAAAAAAACCCGCCACCAAAAACTTTAAAGCTCATATGTTTGCATGCACACATCCAATAGAAATTCCTGCATTCCCAAATTCTCATCCCTGTTGGCATTGCCTTGTGGGTTGTTTTATTTTTTTGTGACTACACCCTCAGTGAGTTTGCAGGTGACACGAAGCTGAGTGGTGCAGTTGACATGCCTGAGGGACGGAATGCCATCCAGAGGGACATGGACAAGTTTGAGGAATGGGCCCATGTGAACATCATGAGGCTCAACAAGGCCAAGTGCAGGGTCCTGCACCTGGGTTGGGGCAACCCCCAGTATCAGTAAAGGCTGGGGGATGAAGGGATTGAGAGCAGCCCTGCCAAGAAGGACTTGGAGGTACTGGTGGGTGAAAAACTGGACATGAGCCAGCAATGTGTGCTTGCAGCCCAGAAGGCCACACATATCCTGGGCTGCATCCAAAGAAGCGTGGCCAGCAGGTTGAGGGAAGTGATTCTGCCCCTCTGCTCCTCTCTGGTGAGACTCCACCTGGAGTCCTACGTCCAGCTCTGTAGCCCTCAGCACAGGAAGGACATGAACCTGCTCGAGCGGGTCCAAAGGAGGGTCACCAAAATGATCCGAGGGATGGAACACCTCTCCTGTGAGGAGAGGCTGAGCGAACTGGAGTTGTTCAGCCCGGAGAAGAGAAGACTCTGGGGAGACCTTACTGCAGCCTTCCAGTACTTCAATGGTGCTTAGAAGAAAGATGGGGACAGACTTCTTAGCAGGGCCTGTTGCAATAGGACAAGGGGTAATGGTTTTAAACTAGAAGAGGGCAGATTTAAACTAGATAGAAGGAAGACTTTTTTCACACTGAGGGTGGTGAACCACTGGCACAGGTCACCCAGAGAGGTGGTAGATGCCCCATCCTGGAAACATTCCATGTCAGGTCGGACAGGGCTCTGAGAAACCTGATATAGTTGAAGATGTCCCTGCTCATTGCAGGGGGGTTGGACTAGCTGATCTTTAAAGCTCCCTTCCAACCCAAAGGTTCTATGATTCTTCTGTCTTGGTCAGATTCAGTACTCTAGTGGTGAGCTGTGTTCAGGCTCCAACTAGTAAATGAATTTTGTATACGTTGGGCTATTTCGTTTGCTACATCTTTCCCCTAAATACCCGCTTTTAAAGAGCAGTAACGTTGCTCTGAAAGAGGTAGTTTTTGGGGTCAGCTAGAACAGCATGCAGAGGTGAGCAGTTGCCAGAAGGAACATGAATGTTTCTTTGTGTTTGTATACACATACAGACACATGTGTGCACATGTGTGTGCATATATATGTATGTGCGTGTATATATATAAATAACATTAGACTAACTTAGGGTGGGAGAGTACTTCTGGAAGTTGTCTTGTCTGGCTGTCCAAGTCCCCACTGAAAACTGGACCAAAGTTACTCAGGTTACTGTATTTAATGATCTAGTCTTTTGAATGAGGCTAGCCTTTATTTTCAGAATGAAGAAAGCAGATTTTAGTAGTAGAAGAGAAAGGTACACCTCAGAGTTTTTCCTCAAGATTCGTTTTTATAAGGAAGCAATTAGAAACATGTAGAGGGAGTGTCTGTTATTACTGAGAATCAGTGGAAGCTAAGCTCTCCAAAAAAGCTGGATTCTACACAATGCTGAATGCTCTGATTTGTTAGCCCATGCACATCTAACTTGGGCTCCAGCATTGAAATATGTCTTTCAGTATACTGAGAGCCTCATTTTCTAGTTTCAGCAGTTTGTGGACTGTATGTTTAGACGTTACTTTAATTTATGGGATACCTGCTTTATAGGTAAGAATACATAGACTAGAACTGTAAATGGGTTTAACTCTCGAGTCTTTTGATGGTAGAATTGTGGATTTAGGGTCTGTTGTGAGTGACTGAGAACTGCAGATTTGATCAGCTGAAGTTAATTTATGTTCAAACAACCTGATAAGTAGCTTATAAGAACAAGCAAAAAGGGAGCACCTTTCCTCTAAAAAGAGTAGTGAAGTTCTCATCCCACTGAAGCCAGTGGGAAAATGTGTATTGATTTCTGCACATTCAGGATTTTCCTGAATGTATTTAAATTCCTGCTCCCAGAATCAGGGAATCTGATCCTGTTCTCTAAATCCATATTGGTTGGAAATAGCAGATATATACCGATGGTGAAAGAATGAGATCATGTAATCTTTCAAGTAAGACCAAATTGTCCTTCTATTTAAAGTGCATTTGTCACACTTGCATTTGTGAAAATTACTAAGGATTTCAGAATTGCGGAGAAAAGTGAAACTTCTTAATTTTTTTTTTCCTCGGTTTAAATTTTACTATAGCTTTCAAGCTGCTTCTTGGTGGTAAGCATTTTTTTTAAAGAGCGTGGGTCATAGTTTATGTTTTTAAAACAAATAAATAAAAATCTGAAATGTTTGAAGGTAATTTTGTCATGGTTTTGAGAAGTCTAATACAAATTCATTGAATTGTCTTTTCTGTCAAACATGTGGAAGCTCACTTTATTGCTGTGGTAGTGTTAATTTCTCTTTCCTCCTAGCAGCCAGAAAGTATATCAGGCTCTGTTCAGTCTTCAGTGTTGGGGAAAGGTGTAAAACACCGACCTCCTCCCATCAAATTACCTTCAAGTTCAGGAAGTAGCTCTTCAGGTAACTATTTATTAACTTGGGCGTCTCCTTTATATGTGTTCTGCCTATTGTAAAATGACATGATATCCCTTTAGTAAGATTTAATTAAATAAAAGAAAATCAGTATCTTATCTGTGAAAAGAGCATCATTTTGTTGATTTCTGATTATATTGTTCACAAAATTGTTTCCTAACAAATACTTGAGTTAACATGTTCTTCACAGACTAATAACGTATTTTAATTATGCTTTTTCAGGTAATATTTTTAGTCCACAACAGTCAAGTGGCCATCTAAAATCCCCAACTCCTCCTCCTTCTTCTAAGCCTCCCGGTCTTTCTCGGAAACAATCTATGGATCTTAATCAAGTTAGCATGCTCTCTCCAGCTGCCATGTCTCCTGCAAGCTCTTCACAAAGTGAGTCACGACCTAAATTCTCCATTAAATCTTAGGCTTTTGCATAAATGCTTCCTGAGATAAACTCTTTAACCTGTGGAATGATGAAACTTAAGTGTACAGTGTATCCTAAATTGTATAAGTTGTGCAGCTTTAGGCAGGTCTCTTGTTCACTGTATGTATTTTATGTTTATTGTAACTGTGTTCGTTTTTTCTGTATATATGTATGCACCCTCTGTGTATACGTTTTAATACATTTTATGCAATTAGTATGATCTCATTTATGAAAGGCTGGTAGATAATGTGATGAGATAAAATTCCAAAGTGTAGATTTTTTTTCCTCCAGTGTAAAAACAGTATGTTAGATCAGTTTGCCTTTACATAATTTAAGCATCTGGTTTTTTAAATGTTATAGGAGCTGGTGCAGTTGTATCTCTATGTATGTATATAATCTGATCAGTCCCAAGGTGGTGATACAATAAACGATAAGATGATTTTTTAAAACACTCCTACACTGTTTTACAAATCATTCCTGATTGCAAGTGTGGTGGTGATGCTGATGATGATAGCACCGTATTCTCAGGTGTTAAAATGTAAATTTCAACAATAAGTGACATCCTAGTTTAAGTATTTTTCATTAACACTGACAGGATCATTGTAATCATAGCTATAGATCATAAACATTTTTTAAAATATGTATGCGTCTTGAGACATTTCGTGAATAGATTTGTACAAAGATAATCATAGCTACAATTTTTCATTTTTTAATGAATACTTGTATACTGCACATTCCAGTATCCTGCACAGTATTATAATATGCTTTTTGCATTAAATAATTTAAAATCTGGATAGCTCAAAAGGTGTAACTTTTCTGCCTTCTTGTTTTGCACAAAGAAAAAAAAAGAAAACTTATAAAATCTGTCTTCTAACATATTTACTCTGTTTTTATGTTAGTGCTATGAATTATCCTGATTTTGGCTGCACACAGTTGTTACTGTAAGGCTCTGATCACAACAGCTGAACATTCACATTTATTTCCTTTCTTTCTGCAGGACATGAAAGCTAAAAAAACCCCAAACAAACAAATAGAAAACAAAAAACCCCACCTCAAGCTTTTGGGGGTTTTTGTTTTGTTTTTCTTTTGATAAACTGTGCTTACTGCATCCACAACAAATATAGCTATACATGCTACATTTAAGCAGAAGGAAATACACAGCAACTTTTAAAGATGCAGTATTATCCTCTGGTTCTTAAATAACTAAAAATTATTTTTATTTGATCAAAATTTAGCAAATGGGAGGTTAGCTATCTGGTGAAAATTAGATCAACCCTGTGATTATTGAAATAGTATATGTTCTTTGTTGAATCTGTTGTTTTCCATGATATGTTTTTAACACGATGCTATTGTGCAGGCAGTGCATATAGACTATATACCTAACATTTTAGGACAAAAACATTAATTAGGTTAAAATGGTCACTAAGAACTTTTTTTTATTTTGATTTAAGTATTTCTGAACAGAGTCATGACTTAATGTACGATAGATTATGGAAGGACTTAATGAAGGATACAAATCAGTGTATGGCCTAAGGAATTAAGCATGGAGAACGAGTTTTCTGTGTGATTATACTGCATCCTTAATAACGAGTGCGTGCTGCAACACTCGTGTTGTGTAGAAATTAACACTTGCAGTCTAAAAAATGAAACAAACTGTCAGTGCTAAATAAGATTCCATTAACCTTATTATACAAAAAGGACTGGCCTTTTATAACAAACTAGCACTTTTTATTTTTCTCAATGAGCAGGGTCTGGAACTCCTAAACCATCTACTCCTACTCCAACCAACACCCCTTCATCGACCCCACACCCTTCTGATGCTCAGAGCTCAACTCCTATTACCCCTTCTGCCACCCCTACTCCCCAAGATTCAGGCTTCACCCCTCAGCCCACTTTGTTAACCCCGTTTGCTCAGCAGCAAATATCTCTGAGCCAGGCACTGCCTGTAATGACCATTCCTCTTTCCACCATGGTAACATCCATTACTACAGGAACAACCTCCACCCAGGTCATGGCAAACCCTGCAGGACTTAACTTCATCAATGTAGTGGGCTCTGTGTGGTAAGTTCTTTGTTATGATGATTTCTTAATTTGCCCTGGGGGGGTTGGTTGGTGAGGAGGGTGGGACTAGTACATGACTGTCTAGCATCCATTAGGATAGGTATTTTTCAAGATCTGCAATTCAAGAAGATCATTCACTTTGTAATTATAAAGTGAAGAGGCACTAGGAACTATTTGTATTTCTCAATATAAGGCAGCTACTATCACAATGTTGAAAAGGTCTCCCAAGAAAATTGTGCTTTTGGCTTTTTGGATGCATATAGTTGTTGAATTTCATAAGGCTTAATCTCAATGTAAGTGGTTTCTGAGATTTTGCTCTTTAAGTTTGAAAACTTTTTTTATTAATCAGAGAGGAGGTGGACTATCATGTGCAGACCACTCTAAATAAAAAATGTAAAGAGATTTCAAAGAGAAGTGCTTATGAATGACAGGTTGTATGTAAAATACAAGAAAACAGCTGTTTTCTAACAATTTCATCAAACATTGAGGTTAAACATTCTTTGATCTTTAAAACTCTTTTTGTGGTTTAAAAAATAATAAATCCTGCTGTCAAGAATAGATTGTATGGTATAACATGAACTGCTTTTTAGACTAAATTCTGTGATCAATATAAGATGGTCAGGGTAAGACATGTCATGTGCTTCAGTGCAGGTATCAGACACTTGAATTACTCATCCAAGGTGTTCAGCAGTTAATCACTGTTGATTAATTAGAGATTTTTTTTTATATGGTGCAAAAGGAAAACACAAACCTGTTCCTTAACTTCTTATTATGATAGTAGACTATTTTGAGGACTGTTGATATTTCAGTATTTCTAGAATAAAAGAACCACTAGTGGTTTATTTTCCGTAGATTATACCAAAGAAGAAAAATTGTGTATGCTGAGAATATGGATTTACATATTGGTTATAGCCTTCACATGATGATTCTTCTAAGCTGCCTTGATGCTTTTATCCATAATCCCATTTACAGCAATCAATTTATTTAATTGTCATGAGACAGAGGGCAAAAATTTAGTTACTCCGATTTGCTTGTACCAGTTGGGTTTGATGTGTTGTCTTTCCTCTTCTACAGTGGAGCACAGACACTGATGAGTGGTTCAAACCCTATGTTGGGGTGCAACACTGGTGCCATAGCCCCTGCAGGTATAAATCTGAGTGGCATTTTACCATCAGGAGGTCTGGTACCAAGTGCGCTGCCCGCTGCAATGCAGTCTGCCTCTCAAGCAGGTTAGTGTGAATAAGTTGAATAGCCATCCTTCAGTTAGGGACAGTGTGAAAACATATTGTAAGAACAGTGGACAAAAGTGGTCGTTCTGTGAATAGGTTGTGTATTTGATGGCTGGAGCTTGGGAACAACATACATATTTTTGCATTCAAAGTGTAGGCTATGTTTGTGATTGTTTGAAATGGATTTTGAGGAGCTAGACTGGGGAAACATACTCTAAACCTGGATTGTTTGATATGCTCAGTAGGAAGTTTGAGATCAACTCCGAATTCAAATGCAACATTGATAACAATGACTGTCAGAAAAAAGGCATGACAACTTAGAAAGAGGCCTCCCTTTTTAAATATGCGGGGCGTTTTATTCTATCACTAGTACTGCTTTATTCTAGTGGGACAATTAATTAGTTCCTTATTGCCTTCAAGTATGACTATATAAATCTGTATGCCTGGATATTCATTAAAGTAGCATTTAAATTCTTAGTTTAGTTTTTCTTAAAAAATGATAAAGTCAAAAAAACTCTAATATATGATTATGGAATCAGAAGTAGAGGAGAGACTTCCAAGATATCCATCCCTTACACTGAGGCAGAGTCAAATCTGCCTAAACCATGCTGAACCAATGCTTATCTAAACTGCTTTTAAATACCTTCACTAAAGAAGATTCCAGTCACCTTTGGTAGCTGTTTGGAGTAGTTGATTACCCGTATAAAATGTTTCCTTCTAATTATAATGCTTCTCCTTAACTGTGAATTAATATTTTTTTTCTCCTATTCCTTGCAGACATGAAAAATAGTTGTTCACCCTTTCTTTTTACCTTCTAAGTATCAAACATGCTGTCATGTCCCACATTTGTCTTCTCTTTCTGATAGGTCGTATTTTTCAAACCTTTCATAATCCTGTCACTCTCTTCTAGACTGTCCAATTTGCTTACATCCTTCTTAAAATGTGATAACCAAAACTGGACACAAGCCTGAGCTTGGCTGATTTACCACTGTGGAGCACAGCAGAATAAATGCATCTCATCTCTTTCACAACATTCCTGTTAACATTTCCCCAAAGGAGGTCTGCCTATTTTTTATTTGTATTTTTCGCAACAGCATTACATTAACGTAAGAATGGCTTTACTGGTTTAGGCCAAAAATCCATTCAGTTTATATTCTGTCTCTGACAGTCGCCATTAGAGGATACTTAGGAAGAGAGTTTAAGACAAGGCAAAAGTGTGAAGTGAGACATTCTTTGTATACAACTGTACCTCTTCTGGCAATCTACAGCTTTGAGACTTTCTCAGCTGAAGACTATCCATGTGGATTTTTGCGTTTAATATCCCGTGCTAGACTTCTAGTCCATGGATTTATCTAATTGGTTTTTGAAACCAATTATATTTTTGGCATCTGCGGCATCTTGTGACAGTGAGTTTTATAAATGTAAACTGTGTGAAGAGGTTCTCTCTTGTGTGTTCTGTAGTTTGTGATATGGTTGATTTGGTATGTTTGTGACTTGCTGTAACTTCTCACGTCCTTTCTTGCTGTACAGACACAAAGCTAGTTACTCACAATTTTGTACTTGTTCATTTGTCTGTTTTTTTAATTCGATGTTACTGATTTTTGGACATTTTCTTCAATTCACTAGGATCACTTTTAATTCGAATTCTGTCCTTTCAAGCACACTCAACCTTTACCAGTTTGGTGTCACAGATTTTTACATGCTACGCTGTCGCTCACATAACAGATGGGAGTAGTGAGCTGAAGTAGGTCCGTGGCAGACCTTTGGGGGATTCTGTTTGACAGCTGTTTTACTGGAACGTTTGTATCCGGTCTATACCTAACTCACAGCTTACTGCGTATACATCTTTTTTTAGCATAACTTTGAAGAGTGCCATGTGGAGTAATGCCAAAAGCTCTACAAGTCAGATACATCTTGCCAGAAGCCCTTTGGGGGGGTGGGCAGTTGCTAAGATTTTGGGTGGCATTGTTTTTTGTTAATGACTGAGAAACTGAGAGCCTGTTACTTCACTAAGCTCTTGGATACTTCTGGATTTACTGTACAAACAGTAGAATTTTTAAAGCCAGAAGAAGAATCACTGAAGAATAACTGCTGTGATATTCTCCACATTCACCTTTGTGTAAATGCATTATTTAAACCATAACCAGGTTATAGTTTACAGGGTACAATGTTAAGTAGCGATACAGTTCTCTTTCCATTTAGTCAGCTCTCTTTAACTTTGAATTGGGATAACTACGGACTTACCAACATTATTGAAAATACAGCATTGTATTAAGTATAAAATTTAAAATTGCCAGTTTCCCAACTTCCAAATGTATAGAAATGATCCCAGTGGAAAGGTGTATTAATTGCAGTACACATATATAATTACGTAAAAACTTCCTACTAATAAAAAGATGTTTTCTTTAACAGGCAGCCCCTTTGGTTTGAAAAATGCATCAAATCTTCGACCCTTAAATCTTCTACAGGTAATTGATATGCTTGGACACAATAATAATGATAATTTCTTACTTTTCTTTAGCGACATGTTTAGTGCTGCTTACTGCATTGCCCCCCACAGATCTCTGAAGTCCATTGATCAGACACACCATTTACTGCAAATTTTAATTCTTTATTTAAAATACTTAGAACAAAGGAAAAAGCTACATCCATAAAGGTGCCAGGTGGAAATTGTATTCCTACCTCAGAACAAAGCAGCTATTTCTCAGTAACAATCTAAAAATGCTGACATTTGAATTAAAGAAATTAATCCTAAAAGAAAATCTTCTATTTTCAGGATTTGCCTAAGCTTTCATTGCAACTCATTCTTTAAACTGAAGTTACAATTATTTTTAGAAGTACAAAACAATACAGTAGAATCACTCAGGGGTTACATATATAAGGCGTAAAAGCTGAGCTGAACATGCACAGGTAGGTGCAGTAATAACTTCAAAGAGCTGCTGGTGATGGAAATCGAAGTTCATGTAAGATAGGGAGGTTAGAAGGTCTGTAAATGTTTTCTTTCCGCTAAGAATACATACAAATACAAACATGAGCAAAAGTTGCTTATTATGTCAGAGCTCCATTTAAAAACAGAACAGGGAGTGTTTGTGGAAAGGGGTGGAGTTGCTGGATCTTTAAGTCAGCTGCACGTTACAGGTGTAGCAGTGCATCTTCAATGTTCCACAGATTTGCACCATGCTTCAAAACATTAATACCAGTAGAAAATCAGCTGTAGCTTTGCTACTTCCTCCTCGCACTCCTGTACACACTCCAGAAACATGGAAAAGGGTAGGCACAGGAGGCAGTTATGCCAGAGCAGAGCTCCTCTATAAGATTTAATGCTTGTATTTGTGTGATTCCATGTTGAAGCACATCCTTTCAAGCTACCTCTGCCACTTGTATAACCCAAGAATAATTTGGTTGAAATCAGTGAGTTAAAGCTGGGGTAAGGGAGGGGAATCAAGACTGTTTCACTTTTGACTTTTTTTTGCATCAGACCTTGCAGCTTGTTGATTGGAAGCATCTACTAAAAGTCAGTGGAATATTCCAAAAGAGAAAATAATATACAGTGCTTTCAAAGACTAGCCTTTGCATTTCCAGTATCAGTACATCCTCTACTACTTTAATTGGAATAATAAAAATGTATTTTCCTGTGGAAATATCTCGCTATAATTTAGTGCAGGTTTGTTTTCTGAGCATAAGGCTTTTTCACAAAAAACAGCAATTGTAAACTGATTCATTTTAAACGATTTGAAAAACAAAAAAGAAAAACCCACCAAAAAAATACCTCCGAGGAGTACATCATTATCAATGTCATGTTCATCCTAGGACAGTGGAGAACTCAGCTGTTTGATTGAATTATCCCTTCTGTTTTTAATCTTCAACAGCTTCCAGGTGGTTCACTTATTTTTAACCCACTCCAGCAGCAGCAGCAGCTGTCACAGTTTTCTCCACAGCAACAATCTCAGCAGCCTACAACCTGTAGTCCTCAGCAACAGGGAGAACAGGTGTGTGCTAACAGCCCTCAGTCTGGGGTGCATGGATGAAACAGTTTCTCCTATTCTCCCCATCTCCACGAGTAAATGAGCCTTTACACAACAGATCTGAAGCAAAGGGGAGGTAAAACCTTCTCAAACTGCAGAGACTGCAGTGGCGTTGTTGTCATGGCTGGAGCTGGGTTATATTCCTTTATTTATATCCTGAATAGAAGAGCAATCACAAAACAACTGGCAAGTAAGTGTCGTCTTACTCTAGCATGAAGAGAGCCAGCCCACTTAAGAGTGGTGTAAAATCAGCTTAGTGTTGTCCTGTTTATCATAACTAGCAGATACATCAGACGAGCAGAGAAGAAACACAGGATTACTAGCGTAACTAAAACTTCTTACTTACACTGCTGTGAGTTGGCTTACGATTCTCACTGCTGTCATTCAACATAATTGTTCTCTTTGCACCAGAGAAAATATCAGTTGGCTTGAAAGCTGTAATCTTAAGACACTTGCACTACTGCTGCCTGCAATTAGTGTTAAAGTCCTTCATCAGTGAAGAAGTCTAAAGGCTTGCTATCTGTCCTCAAAAATGACAAATTTTGAGTGTTGGTTGTACCTGTGCCTAAAAATCTGTACCAGGCACTAATGCAGCAATTTGGGAAAACTAGCTGCTCTGCTTTTGCGTTATCTTTCGTCTTCCCAAACATGCAAGACCTCTTTACCAAATAGTCTCTACTGGATACTCAGTTTGTCATAGTAATTTTGCTTGTGCTATTCTAGGCTGTTCATAAAGAAGATTCCCCTTTAAAACATTTTTACGGTGTATAGTCTCCTGTGTCACAGGCCTTGTTCTGGAATGTGTGACAGTTCAATGGGAGACTTTCAGATTTATTCTCAGAATCCAAATGTCAGTTAGTAGTTGAATTACTTGGGGGGAGGGGGGGGTGGAAATCATGCAAGCTCATACTATTGGGTTTTATTTTGTAGACATTGAACTTTAAGGGCATTTATAAAAACAGCTGATGGTAAGCCTAGTCCTTCTTGTGGCAGAAAGTTCTTCCAGAGGAAGCAGAATCTCTCTGCATTGGCTAACTTGCCCAAAGGAACTTCTCTCTTACCACGCATTATAAAGTACGACTAGGGTCATTAGCTAAATTGAGCTATACTGAATAGTAGATTCCTTAGCTTTCAATAAGGACAAGAATGTATGTGTTCACAGTGCTGTAACCCAAGTGCTTTCTGGGAACAACCTAAGCCCAAAAAGTCCAACAATTTTCTGTGCTGCCAACAGAATATATACATTCTCATCTTATACTTAGGTTTTTTTCCCAAATGTTGGTTTTACGACTTTCTAAGTTTTTCTTGGTTGTCTTCATTGCGATGATGACATCTTCTTAACGTACAATCTTTTGGTCAAGTTTACCTAGATCTTAGTGGCATTATTTCATATGTTTATGCAAAAGAAACATTGCAACTCCTGGATATGCACCAGCTCAAAAGTGTTTTGGTTTGTTTTGTTTATTTTATTTTATTTTATTATGACTGATAAGCCATGCAGTTTGCTTGAATTGCAGATACAATACTTTATTTCCACACTTTATGCATCAATTCGTAATTTAAGTTCTAGAAAAGGTCATAATTCAGTACTGGTTGACTTCAGTCATCCGACTCCACTAATTCCATTTGAGTGATAACTGTGGGAACTACTCTGTTCTGAAAATAAAATTTTAAAAGCAGGGTTTGTATTTTTTATGAAGTCAAGAAGTGCGTGACACAATATGAAGGTGCGAATGTCAGCTTCAGCCTTTTCACATTTTGATTGATTAGGACCTTTGCACATGGATGGCTTCAGGTGTCACCTGAAGACCTTGGGGTTAGGAGGGGGGGCAAGAAATGTTGTTAAGGTTACCACCATAAATTGTGGAAGCTGCTGACTGCAGGGAAGCTGACAGCTACACGGGACTTCTGCTGGGTAACAGGCATAATACCATTTCTTCCAAAACAGCTGTTTTGGGACATTCGACATCTGTTTGTTCTACTTTAATGGTGACTGCATCATAGCCTGTATCTACATGCACTGGAAGATGTATAATTAAATGTTTTTAGATGGCACTTCAAAAGTTTGCCTTCACACTGGCTTTATTTATTTATTCGTTGATACAAAGGTTTGGTAATAAGGATCAAGCTTTTCATTTTTGCTAGGGGTCTGACCAAGGTCCATCCACTCAAGATCAGGCATTATCTGCCCAACAAGCTGCTGTAATTAACCTGACTGGAGTAGGGAATTTTATGCAACCTCAAGCCACAGGTATGTGCTTGCTGAGCCTCCCTGTAGTTAAGTGTGTATGTTGATAAATCCACACTGAAATGAAGTTTGGTCTTAAAGAAGTCTTATGTTAGATCAGAACTATTATCAGCACCTGAATTATACAAGAAATACTGGACTTTCCAAGCATGCACTTTTCTGCTTTTGTTTGGCAGTTAAGTGTAGTAAATTGATAATATCACAGGAAAAGAAGTTACACTTGATACAAAAAGAAAATACAGGGAACTTCCACGCCAGACTTCATTGAGGAATGTTTCTTTAACTGTGTGCTTAACATCTACTACAAGAAACCTTTGTGTCTCCACAAGCGCTTCATAATCTAATTATGTTCTAACTAACAGAGTATTTATATTATGTATACTTTATGCTGCGGTGTTTCCAATTTGACTCTGAAATTAAATCTATTGATCCCCTTTTCTGTTACACTCTACTCCTCTGTCTCCCTTCCCGGACCCTCAGAAACTCGACCTGACCTCTTTGACCTGCCTGCTTTCCCCTTCTCCTTTCTTAGTGTTGTCTCAGCTTGGCTCTGCCGTGAACAGACCTGGGCAAAGCCTTCCTCAGCAGAGACTCCAGCTCTCTTCTGCCTTACAACAGCAACAACAACAAGCCTTGCAGCAGCAGCAGCAACAGATACAAGTAATCCAGCAACTTCACTCTGACTGTGCTTAAAAAAATAAAATAAAAAATCAAAAATACAATTCTCAGCTTCAAAAACAAAAATCTTGCCCCTTTGCCTTTCTCCTTTTTTAAACTGATGTCTTTATGGTCTTGCAAATGGAAAAAAAAAAACAAAACCAAACATGAATTTTGGCAAACTATCGTGGAACATTTGAAATCTGTGGTTCTCTCAGCTTGGAGCACTGAATTTATTTTTATTCATTTACGCCATCCCCCTTCCTGATTTGCTAACATTCAAGGAGTGCTTGTGGCACATATCTAAGTATGCTCTGCCAGGTGCCCATAGATTTCAAAATAGCATGAATGTAAGCACCTGTAAGTTCAAACATAGCACTGCTACAGTCAGTACATGGAAGCAACAGCTCTGGCAAAGCATTCCTTTTGCATTCTGTCATTCAGATGCTTTATAAAAATATTTTAATATTTTTGGCTCACAATCTCCTCTATGTAATACCTATGGAAAATACATACAATGCATACACTGAGAAGGTATTCTGTTAAAAATGTACTATGTAACCCAAACATTCGCTGAAGTTGCTGAGTTACTGCAGTTACTGCAATGGAGAGAAAGGGCAAAGAAAAAGCTGTCCAAGTGCACGTGTAAAATGTCAGATATGCCCTCAGCAGGCTTCTGTGCCACTGGTGCTGCTTGACTGTACTCAATCCCCGTACATGGTGTATTCCTTTTGTCAACCTGGTGCTTCCTCTTTTCATTCCCCCCCATCACCACGTTCCTCTCATTCTTCCTGATGTGAGGCATAGCTTTATCGCCAACACTAACAAGCTTTTTCTCCCCCTTCTCCACGGCAGCAGTTGCGATTCTTGCAGCATCAAATGGCTATGGCGGCAGCAGCAGCACAAGCAGCTCACCTGCATCATCAACAGCATTCAGGCAGCCACTCAAAAAGTAAAAGGAAAAGAGGCACACCAGCCCCTCCAAAATCCTGAGGCTTGCTTCCCCCCCTACCCCCACTGCTACATAAATTGATTCAGAGGGGATATTTTTTTTTTTCAGATTAGAAAGGAGAAAGCTTAAAATCAAATCAGTGTTTTACATTACTGGTGGGAAAATGAACTTTGGATGTTACATTGAAATAAATGAGCTGTTTTTTGGAAACCAACCTTACAGAACTTATAGATGAAATCTCTAAAGCAGATAGGGTCTGGTTTCCTTAAGTCACTTAATTTTTTAACAGAATGTTTTATCTTGTATTTTTTACCACTCAGCAGCATTGTACATAGAGGGTGAAAAAAACATTTTGGAAAAAACAAACTTTGTAAATGTAGTATTGGTATTTGTTTATTTAGTATAAAAGGTTTGTGAACGCTGTAACAAATACAATTTTTACAAATCAATTTCTGAAAAGTTCTCTCCTTTTGTTCACTTGGGCTTTATACTTTTTATTACTTTGTCTATCAGCTTCTTTACTTCTTTGTGTCTTGTAATTGCTCTGGTGATACAATCCTGAAGCTTGGCTCCTGTAAGAGGACTTCCACCTAAAAATTAAAGAGAACAACTTGATTTTCTATTTATACTTCAGCTATGTACCTCTACACGTGTTTTCCAAATGAGAGTATGAAGTCATACAGTGATTCTTATGACCAACACCTTTCACCTGGGAAGCATACAGCTTCCCCAGCTCTAGCCTCAGGCGAAGAAAAGAGAAACAAGAGGTGTAACAGGAGATGTGCTCCAAACCTGCCCTTTGCTGTATGCAGGTCAAGCTGTGACTTCTTTTTGAACTTCAGTCACACCACCACCTTTTTGAAAATTAACTTCAAGAGCAAGTCATTTAATAAGTACTCAAGCAGAAAGTCTGTTACCATAAAGCATCCATGTTTTACAAAGAAAAGCAGGTACATAACATCTAGATAAAGAAAAGATTATCATCTCCATAGGTTGCCATGTAATAAGCCTGGAAGTACCTGGTTTATGGACAGAACAGAGCCTGCCTTCTTCATCAGTTACAACAGTTACTGTTCCAGTCGCTAAGTCTTCTTCTTCAGCGGTTGGATCAACAATGAGTAATGTGCTTGCAAAAGAAAAACATATGCAGATGTGTTAGTACGCCATACTCCATTAACATTATTGCAAAATACACACAATTTACTAGTTTTTACTGTAGTCTTACAAAGTAGTTGTAGGTGTAAGCAGTGCTCAAGCTTATCTGCTTTCTTACCAAAACGCACCAATTATTAAAAAAAAAAAAAGTGGGAGATTTCACATATCGAAGTGGAATCCAAGTTAAAATACTAGCTGTTGAAAATACAGCTTTATGCCTAAATTTCATAGGTTTGTGGCACCTATGTACTGCAGGAAAATGCCATTAATCTGCCATTTGCAGTATGCAGTCACTTATTTTGTAGTCACACAAAGACAACAGCGTTGTTTTTAGGTGTAGGCTGCACTAATCTCTACCAGACCTTAAGGCAAAACTCATTGCCAATGGCAGATTCACCAAAGTAGTTCTCAGTTTCTTGTCAGAGAACTCTTAACAGCACTCAGACTGAGAATAGTTCAAAAATGGATTTACTGGGTTCCTTAAGGCAGACAAAGTAAGCTGTCACACGTCACATGGTGCACATCATTAAAAAATACTAAAAATTGTTATTTTGAACTATTTCATAAGTTAAAAATAGAGCAAACCACTGGGGGGAGGGAGGAGAATCTATAAGCCAACTTTGCACAGTAAGAAAAACTGGAACTTAAAAAAAGCCCAACCACCACCATTCGGCCTTAGTTTCTTTTAAAAATAATAATAATAAAAAAATCACTATCATTACAAACATTTGGCTGAAGCGCAAGTATCATGACTGGAAAGACTTCAGCTGCAGTTTTCAGGAAGCCTCAGTTTTAGTAAACTAAAATTTAGTATTGATGTAATCAAACTCAATTTAGCAGCCCGCGTACACCGATGCTAAATGATGTTTATGACAAGTTTGGGGCGGAAAGTCAGTAGCAAGGCTGTAGGAGCCGATTACACAAAATAGGTGGAAGGTTAACAGAATTTTTCAATTTTAACTCCTATGCAATACATAATTAAAGGTTTTCTGGGTAATGTAAAACTTCACCAATAGTTTCAGATTGCCATTTAATAGCAATAGGGTAATGAAAACCTAAATCCTTAGCTACGCTACTCAAAAATATTTCTTTATTAACTCTACCCACGTGCACAGTGCAGCATCGACCCCCTGCGTGACACTGGGAACCAGCACCCATGGAGAGTTCAACGCATTGGACTTAAGGTTTATGCACAGGTTGACTCCACAGGGGCCAGCTGCAGAGCTGCACAGTACACTGCGCACCGTGTTCCTTGCCCGTGGCCACACTAACCAGCAACCCAGAAGTTTTATTTATGCAAGGAGGGCTTTTACACAGAAGAAAAATGTTTCTGGAAGCCAGGGTATGTAAAGCATATTGTTTAGAGGGCTGTGTCAACAGCTGTAGAAAAACTAATAAACCAGCATTAAAAACACACAAAAAACAAACCCAAACCACACAACACAGGCACATGCCCCCATAATAGTTTTAGGAGTTAAAGGGACACTTAAGCAACTTGTTTGATGCAACAGTCAGTTTCAGTGAAGGGAACAAAACCCAACAGACTGTCAACTGAAACCTTTCCTCCAAAGGCAACTTTTTTGTCCATTGGTAAGTATATGTGATTTGTGTGCAAATGATCTCTTACTGACAACTGTCTGCCTAACATGCCAAACTCTCTCACTTTTAGTCTACAGCAAACTTCAGACCCACAAGAACTGGTATTAAAGCAATTAACAGAAGCACTCTAAAGCACTGATAACTTTCTGCTTGGATTCATTGATAATCATTTGGTCAACATTTGAGTTTAGTGCTCCCCCCACCCCATCTCATATTTGAATGAGAAGGGCCCACTAGTCATTTCCGCAAATACAGATTAATGAGCCATAAACCCCTGACATCTCTAAATATACCCAAATCTTAAACCAGATTCAGAGTACAGCGAGCATCATCATATTTGTCATTTCCTACTTTTCAAATTGATATGACCATAAATAACTGCACTTCTTATAAACGGCAGTGGAACACATACTTAATATACTTGGACTAACGAAGAGCCAGTAAACAATTTCAGGTGAGGAGTCAAGTTATCAGATGATGTGATTATTTTGAACTTTCATAATCAGATTCTTTACCTACATGAACAATGACTTGAGAGTCACACTTGATCTTGGGTAATTATGTTTTCAGTTATCCAGAGGTTCTGTTGTTCTAACTGGACCATCACTTCTTACTTCCTCTGTTGACTAAATACTTGCTATAAACTGTTCAAAAACTACCACCTTTTATATGACTTATTTACATAGGCTTCTAAAACATTAATTGCATTGGTAACGTTCTTTCATCTCAAAGACACTGCAAAAACATAAAGCAATACCTATTACCGTACTTTTAAGCGTATCTTTTAGGCTGGAACCAGTTCTGCTTTAAGTCACAGGAGTAAGTTGAACAGACTTTGTTTTGTTCTGCACACTCATTTGTACCACAGAACTACAGGTCAGGTCAAGAAGAGAGGCTTCGGATTTAACAGCAAGACGAACACCCCTGCCTGAGACTGCGTACTCTCTGCCAGCAGAAGTGCAGAAACGTCACTGGTAGTACCCTCTGTTTTTCATCACTTCTTTTAAATACACTGTTGTTTTCATACGCGCAAAACAGTTACAAACTTACTCATCAAATATAGCAAATGATGTGGCAACCGGATGCTTTCTGATAATCAAAGGATTCTTCTGTTTTAAATTAACTTCTGATAAACCAGTTTCTTCATTTATAGTAACTGAAGGCAATTGTACTGAAGAGATGAAAAAAAAATGACAATGGTGTAATATTAAACATTGCTGGTTTTAGTAGGCCTAAGGATGTCCAAGACTACTGAAATATTTAAGCTGTTCTTTTAAGCCACTGAAAATCGATCAGAATAGAGTTTTGGCTGTATTACTGGTGTTCTGTACAAAAAAAAAATATTGAATTCAAGGAAAGTATTTAGCTTACACCTACCCGTTTAAGGAATTATTTTTTTTTTCTCCTCAAGGTAACATTCTTCCTTACACAGAGGCATTTCCTGCTTCCAAAATGCCATACAATTACAATAGAGTTATATTTAACAAAAAGTACTTTTTCCCCCAAAAGCCAACTGGACATATAAAAACCAGGAATATAGTCTCATCTCAGGAATTCTATATATCTGTAGAAACAGTGCAATCTGAAGTTCAGATAACTCTTGCTCTGACAACTCATCCAGTGTTGGAGACAAGGAAATCAAGAGCAAAGTAGCTCCAGGAATTCAAAAGCAAGCAATTCAGTTAGAAAAGGAGGCCTTGCTGTAAGCTTCCCTTTATACTGCCTCCTACGTGCATTTATAACCCACATACCTATGAATAATCAATTCATATGCTGCATGTATGAAAACAGTTTTTTCAAGCTATAATGCATTAAGCTAGGAATATCCTGTTGTGACAAATAAGCAAAGCCCCCACAACTTACTCTGCCTACATAAAATACATTAACAAGGTAAGACCCTGATTTAGATGTTAAAGTTGTTTATAACTACTGCTGAAAGATTCGGATCTCTGACACAGGGGAACACATGGCAAATACCTATTAGTCTTTCAAGAGAGCAATAATGCACATATAAAAAGGTCCTGCTCCCCAGGTGGTACACATCAATGGCGTCCATATCATTGTTTCCACTTCGTGTCTTAGTAATTTAGCATTCAAATGACAGGAAAAAAACACTTTTAAGGAACTGTGAACCAGTCACCTAGTCATCATGATTTAAAACTAACATATTTCTCCAACCAATGCTAATCAGTGTGTTTCTTGCTCTAGGGAAGACTTACCATTTTTTAACGCTGCTAACAATGCAAAGGCACTGGCATCCAAAATGTTTCCATCATAGTCCAGACATATGATATCACAGTATAACACCCAAGCAAGCTATCAAAAAAGGTTTGCACATGTGAGATATTACAGCAGCTAAACAAATGGTGCAATATCTAAGAAAATGCTGGCCACATGAACAAAGATACTTATTTCTATCATACGATTTTAATACTTCAACTGTAAACCAAGCTTTGAAGACTAAAAAGCAAAACCAACAATAAAACAACCTATAGCCCGAAATACCTTCTTTAATGTCTCAACACTGTGATCTTACTAGTATGCCCCTCTTCATCTTGAGATACAACTTACCTTGCCATTTGCAATACATAGGTCTTCTTTCGCTAGTATCTGTGAACTAAAATAAAATGAGACAGTAAAACCAGGAAATAGAAAACTGTCTTCCAGAG